CTAGGATCAGATCTAGTTCTCAGATATGGCCCCAAAAGCTTGATTTAAAAAAAAGAACAAAACTGGTAACTATCATAATATATACAAAAATTATCCAATTCAATAATAAAAAAAGGAAAAAATAAAAATTAGGAAAATATTTGAATAGATATTTCACCAAATAAGAAAAGGGAATTGCAAGCACATGAAGAGATACTCAATTAATCTTTAGATAAAAGTAAAAGATACTTCATTAATCTTTAGATAAAAGTAAATTTTAGCCAAGAGATGCACCCATTATAGGATATACTAAAGAAAATAGTAACAAATGTAGGTAAACATGGAAAAATGAAACCTTCCTGCATGCTACTGAGATTGTAAAATACTTTGGAGAATGATTTGGAAATTTCTTAAAAGTTAAAATAAACTTACCCTATGACACAGCAACTTCACTTCAAGGTTTCCAGCTAGGAGGAATAAAAACATATGTCCACACAAAGACTTACATGTAAGTAAATGTTCACAGCATCATTATTCATAATAGTCAATAGAAACAGTCCAATGTTCATCAACTGATGAGTGGATAAATAAAATGTGATGTTGTATCCATACAATAGTAGACCGTTCATCCACAAAAACAGATTACTGCTACATGCCACACACATATGAATATTTAAAAATGATTCATAAGTTTAAAAAGTCACATGAAAGAGACTATATATTGTATAGTTATGTTTATAAGAAGTGTCCAGAAAAAGCCATGTTTTAGAAACAGAAGGCAGATTATTTGTCTAAGACTAGAGGTGAAAGAGCAGGGTTTAACTACATAAAGATATGAAAGAAGTTTAGGTGGTGACCAAAATGTTTGTAGAAGTAGTTGTCCAACTCTAAATTTACTTAAAATTGTTGTGTTGAGGGCCAGGGAATTAGCTCACTGGTGCCGCCGCCTGCCTCTCAAGTTTGATCTCCGGTACCACAAAAAAAAAAAAAAAAAAATAAAAATTGTGATGTACACTTAATAAGGGAGAATTGTATATTATATTACTTAAATCTCAACATTCTGTTAAAAATGAAATTATACTTGTAAAAACAAAAAGAATTGTGGAGAAACCTGACAGACATCAGATATCATTTTAACCAAGTGACCAAAGTTAAAGTTCTCAGTATAGCATGTTGATATCATAGAATACCTGTATTATAAGAAGGATGCTTCACTTCTATTCACTCGTAAAACTCATAATTCCAGTCTAATTATGAGAAAACATCAGACAAGATCAAATTCAGTAACATGACACAAAATGTCTCATCATTGCTTTTCAAATGTTATGAATGTGATGAAAAACAAGGAAAGACTGAAAAATTGTCATAGCCTAGAGGAGACTGTGGAGACATACATGGTAACTACATGTGGTTTAGTGTCCTGGATCAGATTCATTAAATTATTGTTTATATTTGAAGTGGGGTGAAATTAGTTATGTTTGTAAAAGGTCATTATATTTTGGTAATGCATACTAAAGTATTCGTGGATGAGATGATGTGATATCTGAGATTCTCTTTGAAATGATCTAATGGAGGAAAAAGTGGGTAACAAGATAAATGGAAAATAAATTAACTTTGGGTGATGAGTACATGGGAATTCATATTACTATGCGTTCCACTTTTGCATACGTTTAAAATTTTCCATAAAAAAGTTTCTAAAAAGTAAAAAAAAAAGAAAGTAAAAAATCCCAAAATGTATTATAATTAGCTTTTTATGCTCATCACACGCAAGGCTTGTGTCTTTTAAAAATCAAATCTGAAGAGTGTCAAAATGCATAAATCATAGAGAGGTGAATGAACTCTCAAAAATAATCTGCGCAAGATATGATCAGGGCTGAATAACTGGGAGAACATTAAGGCAAGTGCCTGAATTAACAGACCTCCTAAACTGTAATGCTTTTGTTGTTCTTTCCTTGAAGTTCTCTGACCTGGTGATATCTAAAACTCCTATCTGTGTGAGAATTTTAAAAAGTAGAATGTGGTCAGAGCAGGCTTTTGTTCCTACTCAATGTTAAAATCTATAGTTGCCCGGACTCTTTCCGGTTTCACTTTATTTACTGGAGGCTTTGTTTGTGGCCTTCTGACTTACAGGATAGGTTACTGCAAAATACTTCATTTCCTACTTGTCTGGAAGCACAAACTGAGTCTTTAACTCAGAACATAAAATTCTTTGCTAAAGGATCTCTGTCAGGGAAGCATTCATTCTTCCAGGCTTTGTAATTTGCATTGATTACTGAGCTGCTTTTCAGTTCATCATTAGATGTTGGCTATAATCTATAAAGCTTTACATAGTTTTGTTCTGATTAGAGAAGTCTGGCACTGGTTGTCAATTTTATTAATGACAGATTAATCTGTATTACAAAAATAAAATTTTAAAAAGAGTTTTGAAGCTGAAATATCAGGAGCAAGTTCTTATTAATGTCACATACTCTACAAATCTACCATTTGAAAGGTGAATTCATTGTACGGTTGTGAACTTGAGCAAAACAAATATCTCAAGTCAGAAAGTTGTAAAGGAGTTAATAGTAAAACCAGTAATAAGATCCTTGTCTTAAATGTCTGCCCTTCAGAATTTTTCACTTTCTTAATGACCTGCCTTCCAATTTCTACCCAATACTGAGCCCCACTGCATAGTGACAGAGTTAATCATTTGTTCATGAGTCAGATATGAAGAGGAACAGTATTCATGTTAAAGACAACTGGTCCCACTTCCAGGTACATCTTTGGGCCAAGATAATGTAGTCGCCAACAGTGAGTTGGCGACTGTATTTTTTGAGTTCTGGCGCAAAGTAAGATCCATCTGTTTTGCCCAGCCGTTTGCTTGAGTGCCCCAGAATGGTCGTGTTAATAGTCTTATTTGTGGCCTCTTTGAAGTTATGTATAATATAAATAAACTTCAGTTCTCCTTGTGATGAATGCAGCATAGGATTTAAAAGTGATGGTGCTGATAGTGGTAAGTGATGTTGTATCTCTATTTTCTACATAGCTGTTTTCTTCGGATTGGGAAGCAGACATTTAAAAATGAGTTTGTCATCTGGAAGGATAGTTGGGACCAAGTTTTCCTCAACAGGATACAAGATGTTATTTTTGAGCTTCATTACCTTCACCAAGGGAAAGAGAGAGAAAAAAAGCAGAGAGGGAGAGTAAGAGAGAAGAAAATGAAAGTAGGGAAGAAACAAGCACAAATGGAGTGAAAACAAAGGTCAAAGAAAACAAAGAAATGGAAAAAGAGGAAGGCAAAAATGTTAGACTATTCACAGAATTGACTTTATTATTTTGAACTGAACCTTTAATTCACTCAACATCTGGTAAATTAGGGAAAAGAAAATCTGACTGAACTGCTAGCTCCCAGTTAAATAGTTTATATGTAAATATTCAGCCTAGTTTCTATCACTTTTTCGTATCTGAGCTACAGAGGGAATTAGTTTCACTAACCATATCTTATTGGTGAGTAGGACAATACCAGTTGTTGATGTGGATTTATCTATATGTGGGAAGTTTTTATATTTCTGAACCACTTATCAAAGATTATTGTTATTTCATACGATTTCTGAGCACAGTTATTTTTGTCAGTTTCTTTTATGAATGTTTTGTTGCCTTTTAGGGATATATATGCACTCTCCTCCTCTCATTCAGTTGTCCCTGGTGATGCCTCCATAATTTCTGTCTTTACACTGGTGCATTTTTAGGCTAATTCAGGCATTTGAGGAGGAAGGGAAAAGTTTAGTCAGTGTCAGTTTTTTTGTTGTTTTTTTTAATTGAATCTCATAATCCATTCATGGACGGATTTAGTGGGAATCTGAACCAGCCACATTTAAAATCTATGTATGACAAATAGATACATTATTCAAACTATTCATCCATATATTTCAAAGAAAGAAAGAAAACAGGAATTCACAGGTGAGAACTAGATGCATTTCCTAATAATAGGTACAATTTCAGGGGTCATTTATGATTATGCTCTCAAATGTAGAAATATTAAAATATTAATTTCTATTATGTGAGGTTGGACATAAACATAACCACACATACTAATACAAATATATATATTTTAAATACTTGTGTAAAATAACAGAAAAATAATTATAATAGTTCCATTTTAATTTTAAAAACTATTTTTTCTGAATTCTTATGTGTTATTTCATGCTAAAAATAGGCATGACTTAATCTAATGTGTATAAGGTTTTTCTTAAACTATTTTCATTTTTATAGATGATATTGTTGGAAGAAAGAAAGGGTTAGAAAAAATGGTATGATGTTTTAAACCCAAATATTTGTCATGTAATTGGAGATCTTAATTCCTGAACTCATAAATTTGATGACTAAGAATACATTTTTTTTTTAACTAGGAGGTTAAACCAGAAGGTCTGGTTCAAAACCTGTGCTGTTTCAAATGCTACAGCTGAATATGACAAGATGTACAGTATGATTTGAAATGGGGCACACAGAACCCATAATACATTTTAATGGTCATTTTGTACTCCTAAGTGTCTTCATTTACCTCTACCTCACCATCTGCCCCGCCACATTTCAGTTGTTTGACAGCAGTAGATCTAGCATTTTTTTGCAACCCTATTTGAAGTCATGATTTTTCTTTAATGTATGTATTCAGATCTATAGGTTTTTCTTTATTCTTTGAGTTCAACCATTTCATATATTCTTTAGACTGTGAACGTGTTGTGTTTTGTTTTTTATAAATGAGATAAAATATAGCTAAAATTCAGAAGCACCAAGTTACTAGTCATCATTGTGAAATCCTTAACATGGAGGCATATTTTATTTTTCAGAATTACTCCCCCCCTCTTTATTAAAAAACTACTTTGGGAAGAGGATTTTTTTCCCCCCTTAACAGGAAAAAAAAAAAGCCACGCTTGACTGATAATGCATTGCTTTGGAGGGTGAAACATTATGAAAGTTTAATTTTTAATTAAATCTGAAATACCAATTATAACTGAAAGAGATTTTAACCTGTTTCTTTTCAGACTGCCTGAAGTTACATTTAGAGACTGAAATCACTGCACCTTAAAAAACAAAAGATTGAGCTACACTGTGTTCCTGTAAGTGGAAGCTTCTTGCACCTCCCTCTGTGTTTCTGTGACCAATTCCAAACAGGGACAAAAGCATTACTAACATAGTAACAAGATATAAGTAAAAATTTGAATGTCCTAGGAGAAATACATCTTTAAATAATTTCTTTCTTTTAAAAGAAGTTTTTAGGCTCAATATTCAGTACGTCTTTTTTTATCTAACTAAAATTGTGAATTCTTTCTTTTAGCTGGTTTGAATTTTGTTACAGAGGGTGTCACCCATTGTGCATCAGCACAGTGACATGCACCCTGTCTGGATTCTTGGATTTTGGTACCAAATTTATGAAAGGTAAAAGGTTTCTTATGAAATCAAAGTAGATTTTACTTTCCTTTGTGATGTCATTAGCAATTTTTAGCCCTTGTTTCAATGGAAATGGAAAGTTCATGATGACATCACAAGGTTCTGATGCCTTGAGGACTTTGGACAAAACCAAGTAAAATGCATAATTCCCTTGTGTGCGTGTGTTCCCCATTCTGCTACGAAGCAGTCAAAATAGTACATCTTATGTCTTCCCATGAGCTACAAGGCTGTCTCTCAGAGCCCCATTGTTCCATAAATGCATGTCAGAGTCTACCACAGTCTGGTCTACCCTTATTTAGCTGCTGTTTTGTCAATGTACTTGGAAGAACAATTAACATTTGGGATTTTAGTGTCTGAATAACAGGCAGTGAATAGAACTGGAGCGTATAAAAGATTCAGACGCCCAGGGTAAGAAAACAGAAGCTTATAGTCAGTAGAAGAAAAAAAGAAAATCATTTTAATGCTGCACTCAAAGGTTGTGAAATACTACAAGGAAAGTCAACCTTCTTTTAAAATTTTAAATCAAGATGTACATTTTGATTACAAAATCTAGAAGCTTATGATGTCTTCCTGAGCTTTGGAGTTTAGTGTGTTTGTTGCAAGGTGTTTGTTTTGCTAGAGAGTCTTAAAACAGTTAACCTTCTGTTGTTAGAATGCCAAATGTAGGGCATACTGCATCATGGTTTTCAGAGTGTAACAGTCCCTGTCCAACAGAGAACACCAAAGATGATTTCTGACCATATCTTCCATTTTCACTTCGGTTCATTGAACTCTTTCATTATTGACTGTAGTTCTTATATGTTGACTATAGATAGTGATAGAGTTGTTTAAATGTCTCTGCCTTTTGTCTGAATTCCTAAATTCCTTTTTGTGCTAAGGATCAAACCCAGGACCTCAAGCATGTAGGCAAGCACTCTATCACTGAACTACACCCCCAGCCCACAGCCCACTTTGGGAGAGAGATGATGTATGGGCAGAGCATGATCACCACACTGGCAGGGTACCTGAAAGGAAAGGCACTTTGTCGGCTTATGTATATTGCCAATCCAGCATACTTCCTGGCTGCATGAGTGAAGAAATGATGATTAATGTTATCTTTATCATAAATGCAAGAGTTCAAACCCACAGAAAGTAAGGTCCCTAAGAACAAGGATAATTTCTCATTTTTCAAAAATAATCTCATCTCTTGACACAAAAATAATCACAAATTAGCTTTTTTTAGTACAATCACAAAATTTGTAAAAAGTCAGAAATTTCGGATTTGTTCTTTTATAGAATATTTATTGTAAAGAAAGGCCAAAAAAAGCTTTATCAGTTAAGAAAACCAATTGTAAAAGAATTTGCCCAAAACATATCCTTGTTTGTTTTGTTAGTTTTAAACTTTCATTTATTTTGAGAAGTTGGTAAATACATATAAACATCTTTTTCAATTTCAAGCCTATAACCCCTCCGCTTTTCCTGTCCCCTCCCATTTTTCCCCTTCCCTGTCTTCAAATGTCTACTTCCTGGTTTCCTGTCCTCTCTCTTTTATTTCAGTTCTGTATTTGTTAATTTATGTTTTGTAGGTTTCTCATATAAGAGAAGCAATGTGATACTTAACGTTTTAGTCTGGCTAGTTTCGCTTAGCATAATGGTTTCTAGTTTTATCCATTTTCCTGCAAGTGGTTTCATGATTTCATTCTTCTTTATGCCTAATATTTCATTGTGTGTGTGTGTGTGTGTGTGTGTGTGTGTGTGTGTGTGTGTGTATATATATATATGTATCACATTTTCTTTATTTATTCATCTGTTGATGAGCATCTAGGCTGTTTCCATAGCTAATCTTTTGGGAATTACATTGCTATAAAAATGAGTATATAAGCATCACTGTAGTATGTAGTCCAGATTTTTTCAGGAATGTACCAATGAGTGGTATAGCTAAGTATAGCAAATGATATTTCTGAAAATTTCTGATATTTTTGAAAATCTCCACACTGATTTTGATAGTGGGTGAACTTGTTTGCATTCCCACCGACAAAGTAGGAAGGTATGGCGGGTTCCTTTTCCCCCACATTCTTACCAACATTCATTGATTTTTTTTTCTTTTTTTTTTTTTTGATCACATCTAGTCTGATTGGGGTGACATGGAATTTCAATGTAGTTTTGGTTTTCATTTCTCTGATGGCTAGAGAATCTGAATATTTTTTCGTATACTTTTGGCTATTTGAGCTTCTTTTGAGAAGTATCTATTCAGTTCATTCACTGATTTTTTTGTTAGGTTCTTTGTTTTACAGGGGTTAATTTTTTTACTTCTTCATATATTATAGATATTAATTCTCTATTAGAAGAGTAGCTAGCAAAGATTTTCTTCAATTCAGTGACTGTCTCTTGGCTCTAATTGGTTGTTGCTGTAAAGAAACTTTTCAGTTTGATATAGTCCCATTTGTTGACTTTTGATATTATTGCCTGTACTTTTAGAATCCTACTCAGGAAGTCTTTGCCTGTACCTGTGAGTTCAAGTGTTTTCTTATTACAAAATGTTCTTGGATTGGCAAAATTAATATTGTTAAAATGACCATATTACCAAAAAAAAGATCTATAGATTCAATGTAATCCCTATTAAAATACTAACAACATTCTTCTCATATCTAGAAAAAGCAGTACTGACTTTCAACTGGAATTAGAAAAGATCCAGAATAAACAAGGCAATATTGAACAAAAACAGCAATGCTGGAGGTGCCACTATACCAGCTTGGAAACTATATTGTACAGCCATAGCAAGAAAAACATGATACCAGCACAAAAACAGAAATGTAGACCAATGTAATAGAAGACACAGAAACAAACCCAAGTATCTCTAGCCTACTGACTTTTGACAAGGGGAACAAAAAATATAAGTTGAAAAAAAAACAATATCTTTAACAAATGGTGCTGGGATAACTGGGAATTCAACATGCAGAAAATTGAAACTAGATCCAAATCTCTCACCCTGTACCAAAGTAAAATTAAAATGGATCAAATTCCTAGAGAAAAAACAAACAAAAACACTGTAGCTGCTGGATGACAAAGATAGATTTTCTGTTCGTGTTGTCAGACCAGACATCAGCGTCCTAGTCTTTTACTTAATTGACTTTACATTCTTTTTCCTGAATAAAATAAGAAATGCTCATTTATACTATATCCTTTCTGTTATGAAATGATGTTTAGAAGTTTCACGTTTCAGTTGTGTTTTATATTTCATACCCTACAGTTGACTGCAGTGATAAGCCTACCTGACAGTCACCTCAGTTTGTCTTCTTGTCATTCCATGAGTTGTGCATAAAGGGAATAGGACACATGGTACAACAGATATTATGTGAAGAGGCAAAAGATTTGAGAATTACTATGAACAGAATCTACTTTCATTGCAATTTCTCAACATCTGTAAGACCACATTATTCTTTAGAACTCAGGACTACTTGACATAAAGGTTTCTGTCCTTCCTCCCCACCAACATTTTTTAAAATTTATTTTCAGAAGAGATACTTTCATTTTTATTAAATCAGCTTCTGGGAATGCAAATGAAATCTCTCATAACACTTGGCCTTTGAGGCAGAACTAAAATGATAAAATTTAGGCCTAGTGAATTGTACTGTTATCGTGTTGAATAACATTTAAGGACATCAAAGAAATTTATAAAAACATTTTACATTTGTTAAGATTACAAAATTAAGGTGAGAGGGATTTAAGGGCAGAACATCATCAAACATTATAGCTAGAAAGGATATAGGAAATGAAAGTCCATCACCTCATTTTGAAATAAATAAATTGAGGCCCAGGGTAGGGCATGCAGGTTACACAAACCATACTGACCACCAATACAGATCATCCCTAGACATTTATTCCTCAGAATAGACCCTAATATACATGCTTAGCCTTCAATTTTTTCTCTATACTCATTGTATGAGCAGTATTTCCTGAGGCGCAAATTGCCTTACATTAATTTTTTAAGACTTACTAAACTATAGTCTCCTCTACCAGGGTGCTCAAACTTTATTCATAAAGGAGTAGTCTGAAAACATTGATTGTTATCAAAAGTTTTTATTTCATTATTCCCATATACTGTACTTTTATATTGGATCTTTGGTTCAATGAGTCATAGAGAGGCAAATTTATTCATTGACTTGATATTCTTTATGATGATTTACAAAGTGGACAGAAGACCATTAAAAACTTCAGTAGTTTAATTGGGCTTACAGGCATGATGAAACCAGTAATCCGAACAGAGCCATTGTGATGTGGCATTCAGGCTTCCTAAGAGTGTGCATCAAGCATGGTGTCAGAATGTCACTATTGTGAGGGGTTATTTCCATCAGAGGCAAGTTCTTGGAGTGTGAAAATAAGGAAATAAACTTTAATAATTTAAAATGGATTACTTGCCCTGATAATTTATTTTGCCTTTCCTATATTGGATTCTGTCATAAAACAACCCAAAGTGGCCAGTATAAATTCTTTTCTGTTATTTTACCCATAGCAAAGTCCTGGATATGTCTTAATTTGGTCCTTAAATTTACTTTATCCCACCATATCTTCTCTCTCTCCCCCATGGAGAAGCTTAAATCATTGTATACAAAAATGATAATGTCCAAAGTCTTTGTACTCCAAACACAAAGACTGTTCCATGGAAGCTTTGGTATACAGAGAAGAGTGA